GAAATTAATGAGAAAGATCGGGAAAAAGTCATTGAAAATTGCGTTTATGCAGCGCTGGTAAATTCTCGCTCTTTTCGCTTCTCATGTTCGATAATTTTGAAAATTTCCACTTCTATTTGGAAACTAATTCATTCAATAAATTTTCCAAAACCTATCACTAACAAATTTATATAGACTGATGAGAAGTTTGATATACATATTTTATTTTCTTTTTGTAGACTTTGCGCACTTTTTTCACAACTGAAAACTACGAAGCGATTGTGGGCGTTAAAAGCGAAGCATTAGCTCAATGCTTGAATGGATTGGGATTTGAAGTTAAGGAGGAAGAGATGGCAATTCTGACAGCGTTTTGTGCATTGCAAAATTGCATTGGAATGGTTGATAATGAGAAAATTCAAAATGTAAGATTCTATTTCTTTTTGAAATTTGGCTTATGTAAGATAAATTTCGATTATTGTTTACAGATTGGTGCCAAGTTGTGTAACTGCCTTCGAATTCATTTGACAGGTTTTTGCGAAGCAGTGAACGAAATTATTTGCAAATGCATCATGAGTGTAACGGCGTTGATGTTAATGCAGACTAATACTTAACTAAATATCTAAGCGATCCAAAGTTATTTGGACGAAATATTTTGCTCTATTTTATTACTATTTCAGGCAGTTATTTTACTATTCATATCTTAGATTAATTACATTTCCCTACCCTCCTTGTGATTGAAGTATTGAATTTGAATAAAGCTAATGTACTTACTAATATTTAATCAGTACGGTAGCAAACGTTGAAGTATGATGGAAGGCATCGTTTGTAATTGAAAAATATATATCAATTTGTTCGTAGACAATAATTAAATAATATTAGACTTATTTCAAGTATTAAGTATCTATTTGCTTATTGTATGTGATTGGATGTATGTTTGCGTATTTTAAGTGTTGTCCATAGACAATAATTATAGCATAATATTAGCCTTATTTTAAGTATTAAGTATCAATTTTTAAATGTATTTTAATTTTGACAGAGTTTCTTATTTAATGTAATTTTTAATTTGACATAATCTCTTCCCCATTTACTTCATTTTACTTTTTTTTTTTTTTTTTTTGGTCTGTGATAAATGTTGTGATGATTTATTAGCCTTTATTTATAATATTAGAATTATGTAATTTCTATTTGCTTATTCTAATATTTAACATACATAAGGACTGAGAAGGATTAATACAAATTGAAAATCCATGCTATTGTTATTTGAACTGAATTGACAAATGATTTAATTTCATCAATGAAATTATAACGTAGACTGAAAAAGTCTTTTAAAGATAAATAAATTAATGTTAACTTTGAAATAATCGATTGATAGTTAAAAAAAAAAAAAAAAAAACGAATTCATTGGAAATGTTTGAAGCAACGGAAGTTCATAACATTTTGCAAAAATGTCGTTGAAGGCCGAATTAAAACAAAAATGTTGCTATTGATGTTTGAAATTGGACAATCTGTACAGTAAGCGATATTATTTGCACTAAATACATTTGACTTGAATATTCTGCACGGCTAATGAGAAATTTATTTTTATGTGAAATAGATGAAAGCCGTTAAATTCCATAAAATACTATTATGCTCATTAATTTACTTAAATTTAATATCCTGCCTTTACTGTGGCATATTACCTTCTCAAAAGCAAATAATTTTGAATTCTTATTCCTATTTTGAATTTTGAATTTTAACGCATTTGACTACTACCTACGAATTATTGCATAAGAGCGATTCCAAGGCACCGTATTCACCGGAATATCTTACAGCGACTCGAATTACTGTTGCTGAATAAGTTGCATATTTTGAATTTAATGAAATAAAAAGAAACACTATCATTTGCTGTATTATTGAATAAAACTACAGAAATCGAATTTTTTCAGAACATAACCAAAATTCGTATGGTTGCTACTGAATTTCATCTTTAAGGTTTGTTAGAGATTTGTTGACTGGACTTGAAATATAAAAAATATCTCTTCGATAGAAATCGATCTCCATGACCTACCTGAGGTGAAAACAATCCAATCGCAAGACTCCACCTACAGGTACCACAGGTGCTGCTCTCATCAACCTTATGTAGTCATAAGATACACTGGAGGTTGTTGTTGAGTTGCAGTTCCTCTTCTATTTATTTCTTCAATGTTTCCTTCACCAAGTTATTTCCTCTCCAGTTGCTTCAGTTGCTTAATAAAAAGTAATTACTATTCGTTAATTTGAAATTATTTCAGAAACACTTTTATTTTAGTACATCTGCGACTTTTCATAACAAAAGATACGGTAATTTAAAATGTCCTTTGATGAAATCATTTAGTATTGTAATTGTGCTTTGGTCATTTTTTATAATTTTCAGAACATAACAAATAACCTCGATTATTCAACATATCTGTTGTTTTAAATTTAATGAAATATGTCAACAAAACTTCAACCTTATGTTAATATAAATACAACTGGTACAATATGCTTTTAGTAATGAAGAATCTCTTAATTTTTGTCATCAAAGCCGCAAATTTGTCATCTCGTCAATTTTTTTCTAGTTAAATAAAATTCTCTTAAATGTTTGATTACTAATGTCAGATTTCATGTTCATTGCAAGCTGGGAGTATAAATGGCAATAAAATTTGCATGCATTGCAAAAAGTTGTTGTGAAGTAATAACTAAACAAAATCAAATAACTATATGTTAATCTAACTTCGGAGAACATTTCATAGACTTTAATAGAAACATAGTTAGCTTTCTGCAAATATAATTTTTATTATTTAGTTGCACCAGCAATTTATATCATGTTGTCGCTTATCATAATGTTGATTTATCGAAATGACTTCAATATTTCAAAAAACATTGTAAAGCATAAACATTTGACATATTACAAAGTTTTAATTATTTGAAAGATGCAATTTATTCAGCGTTATATATGTATTACGTAAAATTGTTTGCAATAAATTGATCACACTGCCCACTATTAATATTTATCAACCTCTCAAATTTATATTTGTTCATTTACTTTTTTCGTTTCATTTAAGTCAATTAAGTTTAATTGAAATTCATTAATCTAATTTTAATGACTAAATCTAGATACACGCATTTATGGCTAGGACGAAATCGTATGTGTTTATTGCTACGTCTACATTGAAATGCAACGATCCATAGCTAAGACTGGATTACACGTATTCATGATTTATGGGTACGTCTGCATTGAAACTCTTTATAAGCAGAATTTATCCAATTTATAAAAATGAACTGAGTTCTTCGGAGTTGGTATTATTTCTGATCAGTTTTATTTTAACCACAATTACATTACAAACGTATGTGTGTATACAGACAGTCCATATGCGCATTATTGTAAAGTTTTGATGTAATATTTCTCTCGTCTACAGATATTTTTTCTCGACGAATATGAGACTTTCAGGTTAGCATCAAAAGTGAGTGGTGATAACAATCAATGTAAACCCTCTTTGCTTAATAAAGCAAATTTTAAAGCCGATGGTATAAACCGGAAAAAGGTGTGTGAAATGAAACAAATATCTCAAACGCTATATGCACGGGAAGAGAAAAAGAGATATGAAGAGGGCTTACAAAATATCCATTTGATCCCCTTTTGTTATTTTGCCATTTATATTTTCATTAACTTGATGATTGTTCAGACATTCAAATTATAGGATCCTCCCATTCATCACATAACACTTCCTTATTGACCAATGGTCTTCCGTATCAAAAAAAAAGTCTTTGTGAGGTCCACTCCCACAATTTACAACGCTTAGTTCAATTCTCTTTGCAAAAACAACATTTTTGAAAATTGTTTGTTGCTGCTCGGTGTGCACAATAGCTTCTCGTCGATAAAAGTGCCCAAAAAGCCGATCGAATATGTCAGAACAATTTGACTGGGAGGATGATTTTCTTCTATCCCAGCATTTGGATCATTCTGTTTCCTATGGAACATCGAATGCCGCCATCATCAATGATACGAGTAACAGCGGAATGGAGGAATTTCGATTGCCTATTTCATCTGCAACTTATTATGATAACTTATCTTCTGATACAACCCAATCATCATATATTGATATTTCAAATAATCATTTGGAAGATTTTGATCAGATGAGGCCGACAATTACATCGTTGCAACACAGTTCATCAACATTTATTCAGAATTCAACGGATGACTTCGCGCCACTTTCTATTGCCGATAGCAGTTCAAATAGTGCTGCAAATCTCGATGTCATCTTCAATATTCCTACTTCAGTTTCGACGTCATCTGATGTCACAGATACTCATACTTCTACTGCAATGCCACTTATAGATGCACTAATTTTGCCTAATTCGCAGCAAATTCTGTTAAGCAATGACACAATAGGATGCCGAGCAGCAGTAATAGAGAACACAGTGGACAGAACTATTGTGAATCCACTGTTGATATCTTCCAGTGCTTCGGTAGAATATCGATATTTGAAACGACCAAATGATAGTGGAAGTGAATCGTTGGAACATTGCAACGAATTGGATGTAAAACGATCAACAAGGAATGAAATGTTTGAAACGAATTTCAATGAACAACACTTATCATCAAATCCAATGCAACAACAACCACAACCATCGGTTTCATATCCAACAAATCAGATGTCAGAATTTGCACCATATGTTGATGAAATGTCTAACAATGTGCACTCAGGTGAAACGTCAACCAATAATGCTCCTTCATATGGCTCCAAATTTCATCTCTGTAATATGATTCAGCCGTTCCCAGTTACCGATTCTCTTGTGACAACATCAGTAAGCTTTTTTTTGTGAGATTAAATAAGTCTAATTGGTTTTGTGTAAGCAGAGAATAGCATAATGCCGTAAATATTTAATGAACAAAACAAATACAATCATTTCAGGAAACCAATCAAGAGGACGAAGGAAAAGTATTTCAAGAACTGAAATCGTATTCAGATCTCAGTTCCTCTGCTGCAACAAGCAGTACTGAGCAACAAATAACATATACTATGCCAGCTGGATTTCATGAACAACAATTATCACGACAATTAGTTTCGAATTTTAGCATTCCCATGAACAGAAATCATTTAGTGAATAGACGGTATCAAGTTTTACCTGCTACATCTCAGCTTAGTCCATCACTGCATACGAAGAAGGATGATCAGGAAAGCCGCAAAAATCCTTTGATGTATTCAAATGAAGAAAATAGTAATTTATGCACCGTATGTGGCGATAAAGCTTCGGGGAATCATTACGGTGTATTAAGTTGTGAAGGATGCAAAGCGAAAATATTTCAATTACAAAAAGTAGGAAAAAGACGACAAAACCATGAATATCAGCACAAGGGATTATCGGACAGTTAGTTCTTCCCTATGTTTACTTGTTGTTACGAAAATTTTAAAAGAAACTGAAGAACATTTGTTTTAAAAACAGGTCATGCAATCATTTGAATGGAATGTTTTCAAGAGATCTCTCAGGACCTAAACCGTTATTTTTAATAATAACCATTAATTTTAGATAACAGCCATTATTTTTAAATAATAACTATTACTTTTAAAAAGTAATAAAGCTAACAAAGACTGAACATTTTTACCAGCTCATCGAAAGAAAAACCAATTTAGACATATTAAATTAAATTTCAAAACATTGTCTACTGTCGTAGAATTTATTGCAGAAGTAATTGGAAAGTCGAAGGATCTATGCGTTGTTTGTGGTGATATTGCATCCGGTAATCACTATAAGGTGTTAACCTGTGAAGGATGTAAGGTATGATATTTCGAAGTGTCAAACGTAAAATGTAATAAAAATGGAAAATAGCCTATAGGTGACCGTAAGATACCCGAAATTACTTCCAGTGTAATGAAATATAATGAAATGTTAGAAAAGAATTTATTAAGATGAATTTAAATTTGCTCTGTACAGTATTTTTAATTTTTCTTAAAGTCTCATCTCAGTATAACATCATTCATAAGCTGTCGATGTTCATCTTAAGTTTAATTGGCGAATCAAAAATGAGCGCCTAAAATTATCAACAACAGATTTCAGGTATAACGGTTTGGCATTATATTAAATTTTACAATGAGACGGAGAGCTGAGCTACTCCGAGCTTTTGTAAAATTTTTGAATCGTTTATCAGAAAAAAACTGATTATTTACACACATTTATTTATATTTGCAGAGTTTCTTTCGACGAAGCATACAGAAGGAAGCAAATTACCATTGTGTTAGGAGTGACAATTGTCCAATAACGGCGAAGGATAGAAATAAGTGTCAGAGATGTCGCTTGAATAAATGTTTCAAGATGGGAATGGATGCAAATTCTGTGACTAGGAAGCAATAAATATAGGTACACATTTTTATCAAAAATTTTCCCTCTTTTTTCTTTCTAAGCAATTAACATTTTCAAAATTCACTTTTTAATTTGGGAAAAATTATGAATTTTAAAAATCATCATGAAATTTATCCAGTTACTGTATTTTAATGAGAAATATAATTCCACACCAAAAATTTTAAGAAATGGTAAAGTATAAACTCAAAAATCGGGAGTGATAAACAAATTCCAAGAAGCGATCGATTTAACAAACAGACCGTTGAAAATCTTAAGCCCGCACATTGACCTGCCAAAATTAAAGTACGAATTAAGTGTCGAAATCTGGAAGAAATCAAAACGCTCATTAAATTCCAAAACGCAATCAATTCAATAAATCGATCGCAGAAAATAACGTTTGAGCCTCGCGTGTTCACCAATAAAAGAAGGACAATGATAAAGTGCGAATTAAGTGTGGAAGCTTGGAGGAAATCACAATGCTACTTGATAAAGGGATTCAAAGATGCAATCACTTCAGCAGATGGATCGCACAATTCCTGCAGTTCGTATCACAAATTCAAGAAGTGAAAACAGTTGACCAATTCATATTTTCTAAAGATATTTTTCTCGCTATTTACAATTTCTATTCATTTTTTTCTTGATTTCGATAAAGTTTTCACTCCTATTAAAGTTTTTCACACTTTACTCCATCGATTTATATTACCTTCCTTCTCTATTTCTTCTGGGAGTTCAATTTTTTTTTTTAAATCAAAAAGAAAATGAATCCATTATCCAAATGAATCACTTGCAACTATGTCAACAAGTATTTATCACTCAAAATACCTTCATCATACGGCTTATATTCCATCTTTGAATTTACCAATCATCAGATTTACCAATTATCCCCACAAATATTTGACACTTGCCTTATCTGAGAGTTGGTCAAAACAAAGTGTAAAATTATTCATAACTTTGATACGCTGGAATATATTAGGAAGGAATAAATAATGTTTGAGTGAATCTTTCCTACGAAACTGAAAAAAACCGTATTCGTTACTAATAGTCCCACAAAATTTATTAACATATATGCAAGCCACGCTGCATGCATTTCCTTTTGCTTTCCGTTGCGAACTATTTCATGGATAAAGCTAGCGACATGCTATTTATGTGAAAAGTTTCCAGTAGAAATTCTAATAAATCTATCGGTCGATCTCAGATCACATAATAACATAGCATAGCAGTAAGGGAGAAGGTATGGACAGATTAAAAGCTGGAATTGATGCTTTTGTAGGTAAGTAATAATAGGTAATCAACTAGATTAACTGGTATCACAACAACATATATGCTTCCAGATATTATTGCAAAAAAGCAGCAACACACAATTAATCGACCAAGATGATGCAGTGAAATAGGAAAAAGAAGGAAAGAAAATGTCTGTTGGTGGGAAAGTTGCAGTAGAAGTGTTAAACATATAATGACTCTAATTTCAGTACGGGGATGTATTCGACGTTTAATTCTTCGGGGATTGTCCCTTCGTAATTTTCAATATTCAATCTGTTCGTCTTCTGGAACGAACTGTTGCATCCTTTATTTTCTTTGACCTAAAAGAAATCAATATTCATATATTTATATATATTTAAATGAACTTGAAATCTCAACTGATGGTATTTGTTAAAAAAGAGATATTATGCAAGAAAATTCGTTTGACTTTGAAGAGGCAGAGAATTTTAATAGATTATCATACTTCGTTTTACTTTTTTCCCAACTGCAAGGGCAGCGTTTAATCGTTGTTGCATACGCTGGAGATTGTAACTGCGTCTGATGTCTGATAGGTTCGGATTTATTAATTCAGCAGGTATTTGCTGCCTGTGAGGCAGGTGTAATCCTTCCATAGGGTTGGCTGAAATGAAAAGATGTCCAGAATTTCGCATTTGGATAAGCAAATTAAAAGACAAATGTTTTAGTTTTTTATTTTTTAAACAAATATTTAAAATTTGATTAGTACCCACGTAATCAAAATTTATTAATTCGGAGGTAAAATCAATCCACATAAACAAACAACAGAAACAAAAATCTGTAACTGAACTAAAATCGGAGCACACGATCACTTCATTCCGGAAATGTTAATTTTTTAGGAATTTGAAACGATTAAAAAAAAAAAGAAATTATTGACGATTATTGATTGCACTAGGACCATTGGATTGCTATTTCTCTTTCTCTTTCTCTCTCTCTCTCTCTCTTTACCTCCTTCCTCTTCTGCTCTTAATCCATTATTTAATCAATTAATTCATTTTTTAGGTTTTCAGACAATTTTTTCCTTCAAGCAATCGGCTCAAACGAGTAACTTCAACGTTTCTTCGCTATCGTTACTTCATAAACATGTGGAAAATAGTTATTTCAATAAAAAAAAAGTAAGATAAACCAACTTCGTTGCAACGATGTCGTTGGTAACTGCTGATCGATCTGAAATTGAAGATATTTTTAATATCAATTTAGCACTGCAACATTGTTCCTAGAAATAATCTTAAAATCGGCCTGAAATCTTCGACTATTATTATTTCAATTTGAAAATTTAAATCGTTATTGATTTTATTGATTTGAAATTTAAATAAAATAAAATTACGCTAACAATAATAACGTTAACGCTTAAGAGTATCAGCTAAATGTATAACAAGTTGATAAAATCCATTGTAATATCTGAGAGCTCAAATGAAATACAAAGAGAAACTTCCAGTGATTGAGGTATTTCTCAGCTCATTTTGGTCGATTAATATCAAATTATTAAATTGAACAATTTTCCTCACCATTTCTTCAGCTAAATTTACCATTAATTTTGCATTAGCGTTCCTGCAGAAATCTTCCTCTATTCGGGATATTTTTGTGGGTAATTTATTGAAATTGGGATCCAGTACAGAACTAGTGCTTCTTGTTGGCTTCACCCATTTGGAAATGGATTGAAAGCGAGATAGTGATACGGGATTTTCTAGATTACCAGCTTGTGATAAATTTGGTGTAATATTTTCTCGTTCTTCAACTGTTTTTAGTGAATTCCATTGCTTTCGGTACTTCAAGTAATTATGTGTCATCAAATCGACCGCATCTGGTAGTGATGGCGGTGGCATATTTAAAGAAGAAGCAATCGCTCTAGCTTCTTCCCAAGCATCTTGTGCTAATCTAGCATAATGTGTTGCTTGATCATGTAACAGTCGAATTTTATGAATAGATGATAAATTCTTCTGAAATTCATCGGTTCCTTGCAAAGATTTTGTAGAAGGCAATGATAACGACTGAGTTTCTGTTTTTTCATGTAAATTAGAAGATAATGGTTGAAGATTTAAAAGAAAAAGAATTGTTTATATATTAAGAAGTTTCTATAATTACTATTTCGTGCTTATGAATCACTATCCATATTGGATGACAGTGTAATTACAACATTGCCATTGTTGATTTATTGCGCATATTAGATGGATTATCATTATAGGATTCTTCAGTATTGCCGCTTATTGGTATTTGATTATTCGTATTCTGGCAGAAAGTAGGAAAATTTGTTCTCTGAGTACATTGTTTTCACTTATGATAGCAACGCGGTATGGAATACTAAGTTAATGACTGTATCGATTTAAAGAAAACTTCAAGGATGGACGTGAATAAAGCTATTAAGGATGTGATTCCATAAATTATCGATAGTGACAGGGGTCGTTGTAAAATGTATTTGAATGCCCTTGCAAAATTATGCTTCTATAAGGTTGAAACGAATTATTGCAGTAAATTAATTCTCAGATGAAGTGCTGAAAGCAAATGATTAAATATAATAAATAGAGTAGGAATGAATATGGAAATGTAGAGAGATTTTAGTACTTTTTTTTCAAAAATTTGCTTAATGCATTTTTCTTCATTGAAACGATATAAACGTACATCGAGTTCTGGAATGCTATTTTTAAGATTTATTTAATGGTCAGATTATTAGCACTTCTGCTTAAGAATTTTGTCTTCGTAAATCAGTAAGCATTATAACGCTTTTCAAATTGTTTAAAATAAGTCGTAGTTTACGATCAGAATAATATAAATTCCTGATCCCATTAAATTAGCTATTAGTAATTATATCAGCATAAAATTAACTGCTTTATTTTTAATGTTTATGAAAAGCTTCCTGAAACTGGACTAACGTACAATTAGTCCTTGATAGGAACTTTTTAGTGTATGCATATGTATGCAAATTTTATTGTTATTTATACTCGTAGCTTTGAATGGGCACGACATCACTGATCAAACATTTAAGTGAAAAAGAAAAATTGCTGAAATAACGAATTCGTAGCCTTGATGTTCTTCACTATTGATAGAACTTCAAGTACAATCCAGCTGATCGATGAAATATTTCATTAAATTTAAAACAACAGATATGTTGAATAATCGAGGTTATTTGTTATGTTCTGAAAATTATAAAAAATGACCAAAGCACAATTACAATACTAAATGATTTCATCAAAGGACATTTTAAATTACCGTATCTTTCGTTATGAAAAGTCGCAGATGTACTAAAATAAAAGTGTTTCTGAAATAATTTCAAATTAACGAATAGTAATTACTTTTTATTAAGCAACTGAAGCAACTGGAGAGGAAATAACTTGGTGAAGGAAACATTGAAGAAATAAATAGAAGAGGAACTGCAACTCAACAACAACCTCCAGTGTATCTTATGACTACATAAGGTTGATAAGAGCAGCACCTGTGGTACCTGTAGGTGGAGTCTTGCGATTGGATTGTTTTCACCTCAGGTAGGTCATGGAGATCGATTTCTATCGAAGAGATATTTTTTATATTTCAAGTCCAGTCAACAAATCTCTAACAAACCTTAAAGATGAAATTCAGTAGCAACCATACGAATTTTGGTTATGTTCTGAAAAAATTTGTTAAAGAGCAACCAATATGGTTTCTGTAGTTTTATTATATTCGAATCGCTCTTTTTGTTTATCTGTAGCAGTTTATTTTCTTATCATTTTTCTTTATCAGTTAAAACAAATACTATCCATAAC